GCTTTCTGAAACATAAACATTTTCCTCAGGCCAGTGATCTTGACCAGTGATCATGAGTTCATGGACCCACAACCCTGTGTGTAACTGCCAGCCAGTGAATGGGTCTGCAGATGCAGCAAGGCTGAAGAACATTGATCTAGACCACAGGTGACCCCTTTGAATCCTATTTATTTCATCTGTATGTTTTAACCACTTTTGCGTCTTTGGCATGGGAAAGGGATCTCATGGCCAGAGCCCCGAGGAATAATAACTTTAAACTCTTTAGAGCTAGAGAAACAGTACAGCAAGGTAGGTGCTTGCTTGCCTTGCATTTCACTGACCTGGGTTCAATCCCCAGCACCCCATATGGTCCTCAGAGCCTCGCTAAGAGTTATCCGTGAACACTGCTGGGTATAGCCCCAGTACCAAAAAATAAATTAAAAATAAACAGTCTAATCTGAGTTCAAACCTCAACCCCGCTCACCTGATATCTCTGGTCACAAGAATGAAAAGATTGCTGTTCTCTGGCTCCTTCCCAATTACTCTCTTTACCATCTCCCATGAACTTGCTGACTTCTTCCAGTGTTTACTAAAATGATCCTTTTTCCTCACTCACCTTAATGCCTTCACCCTGCCTCTCTGATGAACACTCCTCAGCCCCCCACCCCCTCCTTGGAGGACATAGTTCTGGTGTATCTCAATGGATGCTAGCCTCAAAAGGAACATCATCTGGCTTTGAGAGCTGACTCACAATCAGCCTCCTGCAATAGTTCTGGGAAGAAGCCCCACTCCGGAAACAGGAAGTCTTTCTGCCATGCCTTCGCTGTATGATCTTGGCAAATCCTTGGTCTCGGGGGGTCCTTGTCTCTGCTGTGCCAGAGAAGACAGAGAAACTCGCAACCACAAGCAGGGAGTCTAAGATTCACTGTTTTTCCTGGTTGGAACAAGCAGCCACACATTCTGAATTTCCTGGTGTCAGTGACAAGTTTGAAAGCCTCGGCACCACTGTCCAAACACCACAAGCAAACTCTGTCCCAGCAATTGGTTCACCAATGGTTGAAGGGGCCGTGAGCTGGTTTCCTATCTAGTTTCTCCATCATCATTTAATCTACCTTATAGTTCCCACGAGATGAGGGTTGGAGCATCTCAACTGCCAGCCCTTTTTAGCAATGATGAGCTACCTCATGTCAGGACATTCCGCAAAGTCCAATAGGACAAAGCATCAGTAAGTTTGTTCTAGGAGTAAACACTCTGCTTATTCTACAATCAACTGCAAAAGTTCCATCGAATCCGTAAAGCCTGGGAGTGGGATGGAGAAATGAATTTAGTCTGTGCAAGCAAAAACTTCAGACTGAAGTCCTGTTAATATTCTAAATATATGAAGTGATAGTGTGGCACTTTCCCAGGATTGCTTTCAAAAGCTCTGTTTTAGAATCTCTACTATTAGGGAACCCTTTTCTCATCCTCACCCCAAATACTTAGTAAATCCCTGTGGGTGGACCTGGGGCTTACATCAGAAAGAGAGAGGGTGGATTTAAAACAAAGTGATTTAAATGTTTCCTCTTGTGTAAAATGGAGGCAAATACCACATTTCTCACTAGATTGTTAAATAAGAAACTTACATTTCTAAAATTATTAAAATGGGAGCTGGAGCAATAGCACAGCAGGTAGGACGTTTGCCTTGCACGCGGCCAACCCGGGTTCAATTCCCAGCATCCCATATGGTCCCCCGAGCACCACCAGGAGTAATTCCTGAGTGCAGAGTCAGGAGTAACCCCCAAGCATCCTAGGTATGACCCAAAAAGAAAAAATAAAGTTATTAAAATAACCTCTTTCTTAGCTAATTAACAAAGCATTCCTGGATCTCTCCTTCTGTTTAATCCTACCTGGTGGGAATAAATTGTCATACCAATACTCATTTACCTGTTTTTTTTTAAAAGAACTAGAGAAAGGAAGTGAATCTCCAAGGATCTCACAATTGGCAATTGGTAGAGCTAGTGTTGAAAATTTTACTGGTGCCAGGCCTGGAAGCTGAGATAGGACATGCCCTAAGTTTGAAAGTGTAAATTATCAGGCAAATTTGATCCTGGTAGCTGAACTTCTGGGGAGAGGCAATGAAACTGTCCACTCAGCACAGGCAGCTCTGAGCCACTGAAGCACAGAGTACCAGAACTAGTAATTCTCAATACAGTTTTGTGGTTTTTGAGTGTTTTTTTTTGCGGGGGGGGTCATACCTCACGATGCACAGAAATTACACCTGGCTCATGCACTCAGGAATTACTCCTGGCGGTGCGCAGAGGACCGTATGAGATGCTGGGAATCGAACCCGGGCCAGCTGCGTGCAAGGCAAATGCCCTACCCGCTGTGCTATCGCTCCTAGGTATAGTATTCTGTGCTACTGAATGAAGGCAGTCTGGTAGACATTTTCATTCACTTTAACATGGTAGCAATGGCAGCACGTTCTTAAAATTCCTTTTCAATTCTTTCTCCGTAAACATTGGCACCTGGGAAAAAAATCTTAGCCAACACTAGTATAGGTGTAAAGACCTATGGGGTGTTTTACTTCTCCCAGGAACATCTTCCCTTATTTACTGTTCTTCTGGAACATAACCAGGGAGTATTAGGCAGAGAGATTCCTGCGTTTTCATGTCCCCACTAGTCCCAGCAACTCTGGGTGTCTTTCTCAAACATGATGTTCCCCAATGACGTAACACTCAGCCCCAACTCCAGTGACAATGTAATCCATCTTCCAAATCGTAATCACTTAGTGTTGCTCCGTATATGCTGGCTTATAGTCACTCCTAAGTGTAAAAACTAGACCCCAGAGTCAAGGGAGCTTAAAATTCTTTGAGCCAAGGTAGCCCTAACTCCGGTAAAAATCTGATCCATCAGGCATTCAAAAATGGGTTTGATAAATGCCTCATAGGGCTCTAGAGCTTAGGAAACAGTCCAGGTTCCTGCTCTAGAAGTGAAGGAAGGCGTTCATTCAGCCTTCAAGAGGAAATTCTGATGCATGCTACAAAACACAGATAAATCCGAAGGACCTTTTGTTCAGTGGGCTCAGTCACCAAAAAGTAAAAATAATGCATACGATTCTATTCAGATGACAAGCTGCAGGAGCTGAGGGGAGGAGTCATTACTGTGTTTGGAGCTTCGATTTGGCAAGACGTGTTTCAGGTAGAGACTATGAAGGGGACAGGACAACATTATGAAGGTACTTAATGCCAAAGACTTCCGACAGTCCTGGTTAAGATGGCACTTTTTTTATCACGTGCATTTTACCACCATTTTTAAAAATTGAAACAAAAGAAAGAGAACAGCTTGAACATTCTCAGTTATGGGATTAGCAATGTGTAACCAGAGCCAAAAGTAGCTACATAATAAAACGTTTGTACATCTTTATGCCCAACCACCAGTGTTCCTTCTGCTGAATGAAATGCCTGCAGCGGCCAACGAGTGTTTTTTGTGTTAAGCTCCCTGTACTGGAAATGCGGTCTAGAGGCTGCTGCCAGACAGATGGGCTAAGAGGGAGCATTGTGCAGTGAAAAAAGCACCCCTCAAAACCAAATAGCTCCCCCAAGTGGCTACAGCATCCCCCACTGAGAAAAACAATTCCCTGAGGTTTGCTTTTACGAATTAAAACACAATTTGTACCTGCTACATCAACCTGAATATCAGAAGAACCAAAAATATCCACCGAAGATCTATCTTGGAGAAACAAAAAAAAGATGTTGGGGGGGGGGGCAATGGTTTTTGGGCCACACCCAGCAGTGCTCAGAGATCACTCCTGGAGGGCTGGGGGAGCATATGGATGCCAGGACTCAAACCCAGGTCAGTGATTTGCAACACAAGCACCTTCCCCGCTGTACCCTCTCTCCAGACCCACATCTTCAACTTATTCCAAGTAAAAATCCATACTTCTGTATCAAATTTCAAAACAAAAATACCAATTCATGTGATAAGTAAGTCCCAGGGTCTGAAGGAACCAGTTTTTCCCATTTTCTTCTCAATAACTTGTCATCCATTAGGATTTAGAAGGACCTCACCCATCCAGTGCCCTAGATTTAACAGTTAAATTACTTTTCGACTGAGATTTTTTTTTTTTTATGTATAGAACTGCTCAATCTATTTTATAACTGTTTTAAGCAGGTTTACTTTTGGGGAAAGATGCTTTTAAAACCGCTTTCTAACATACTTCATTATCTTGTGATTCTGCTAAATATTTCATAAATTTCTTTAGAAACATGACTTAGGGTACTAGATTTCTGACAATGGACCTTTCAGCTTATGTCACCAAAGTATTTCTGAGGGTGTACCAAAAACTGAATGCCTATGCCCAGGAAGGTAAATCACGTGAAACTCCGAAAGCTTTTATTTTTGTTTGAAATTATACCAACTCGGTTTAGAAATGCTGGTAACTGACTGACTTAGAAAGAGCTCTAAAATTAAAATAAGTAAATAAAATTGCACTTGGTGAACCGTTAAGCAAATGAATTACTCCAAAAGTCAGTTTAGCAAATGAATTATTCCAAAGCTCAGTTTCAGGATTCGAATCAAAATATCATTTCGAAATTATCTTCAGGTTTAGGGAACAGTGACAAATATAAAGTCTGCTCTACACTCAGAGAATTAAGAACTGGGAGAGAAAAGAGGAAACATATTATCTGTGGTTTTAGAGACAAAGAACAGAAGGAGCAAACATCCCTTCCAAGGTTTCTGGCTGACTTCTCCGACTGTCCGGTGCATACCTGCTGCCTTTGAACACGGATCTGCCTGACAGTGTCATGAGCACCCTGTGTGGAAACTGCAGAACACCCAAAATGACAATCACCAGCACAGAAATACCTAGAAGAAAACCAACCAAGGCCAACTTCGGTAGCATGAATTTGAATAACTACATGGATAATAGGAACTGTCAATCCAACAAAGAAAGCTGTCCCACAAAACATATTTTCTATGTATTTACTTGTAAATCTAAAGCAAAGGGACTAAGGACAGTCACACATCAACATCACACTTGGTATAAATGAATTATAAAGTTTATTACCCATAGAAAAAAATTGATTTCTTAAACTCAATTCTTAAGTTGCTTGTGAAATAGTAAGCTTACAGAAAATTTCTTTTCTCATGAACAGAAAATCTCTATGCTTTTGGTCCAAGATATGTTGAATTTTTTTCCTTCTTCTTCAGATGACAGACAGATGGATGTAGCCGAATCTATGAACGCGTGTACTTGCCCCAAATGTGCAACATAAATACAGAAGCAATGAACAGAAGACTCATAACCAATACTGGAACAGGGCCACTGGAAATAAGAAGAGAAGGCAAGCTTACTTTTAGCAATAATACATTATTATATTTGTAATACAAGAGTGCCTGGGGGGGGGGGCAGGGAAACTGAGGACAATGGTGGTAGAAAACTTCCACTGGTGAAAGGATGGATGATGGAACACTGTATGACTGAAACCTGGTCCTGAACAGTTTTGTAACTGTGTATCTCATGGTGATTTAATTAAAAAAAAAAATCTGTGCCTAAGGGGACAGGGGTGGGAGGGTGAGGAATAGGGTTTGGGGAACACCTACCATTACCCAAGAATATTATTTACATCATTTAAAAATATCCCCAAAACTAATATTGCAGACATTTTGAGAGTCACATGGCATTGTGGTCATTTATGAAAGAAGAATGTTCATCCAAGTGAAACACACTAAAAATTATATAAATAATTTGATGTCCTGGAGACATTAGTCTAATTACACATAACTGATTACTTTCCATTAAAAAAAAAATAAAAGAAGAAGACCTCCAAACTCTTAAGTGCAATCAATCCAATTACCATCTGTTTTATGAAACTAAGATTTAAAGACAACCTTCGCAGTCTGACGACAATACACCAGGCAGACAAAGAAGAGTCTCACTGTAGGCTGCAGAGCACTTTCAAATGTCTGATCAATTAAACATCAGATACAGATGAAAACAAATACTGATCCCATTTTCTCCTAAGGCAAATTGAGGCTGAAGAGACTGTTTTTTTTGCCAAAGAACACACAGCCAGAGTGGAAAAGAGAGGTCTGAGCTCACACCTCATCCATTTTCAATGTTCATCTTCCCATCTTCAAGGCACAAGGCTGAGTGTATTTAACCAGCTTACTGCAGGATAAACTAGATTTTACTCTAAATAAAACCCTTTTCCAGTGTGGGCATCCTGACCTGAGACAACTCGCTCATTCCCCCACTGTTAAGGCAAGGTTAGCACAGTAGCAGCCAGAGGCATAAAGCAGAGAGTGCAGAGTGCTGAGGCAAAGAGCTAGAATCTGGAAACCCGCACTGTCACATCCCTCCAGAAGTCTTAGTTTCCTTATCCGCATCTGCAACACAACGCTAACCATCGGGCTCTCTCAAAGGGTTGCTGAGATACTAAATACATGCATACAATGAGAATGTGCACTGAGACTCTCGGGAAACACTATTCTTACCAACAAGAAAATATTCCAAGCAACTAAGAAAAGGCAACACGTTCCACAATAAGGATCTCTGGCCAAGAATTCCCAACTGTGTTGTCCTCTCACCAAAAACCTCTCTGTGAGATACAAACATGGTTTACAGCATCTGGAGCCCAGGGCAAAAGCCCACATGACAAAACCACCTCTAACAAAGGCCCAAACAAAGGTCTACAGAAAGCTGCCAACTCACATCACCCAGCCCCAGGATGGCTTCCCAAACAACTTCCCTCATGACAGATGTCTCCCAAAGGGGCAAAGCTAATCCATAAGATCAACCAAATCTCAAGAATCTCAAGAACAACTTTGCAAACCAAATTGAGAATCCGGGTCCAGGTGCTGGCCCAGAGAACAAAGCCCTTCACACTACCTACTTCTGCCTCTTCGCTACCAGCCACTGTGGAGCTCATGTCAAACTACCTGAGTCTAATTCTTGCTGTTTCTATTTTACCCATAACTGCCTTTCTCTGAACCTCAGCTCTGCACCCAAGACACTCCACAAATTACAGCTACTGTCATGAGTTCGATTCTTCCCCCACTGGGTTCATTAACAGAAACAGGTGGAGACAATGGTGACCTGGAGCTCACCTATCACCTGATCACAAGGGCCACACCCTGGACATCCTTTTATGGGAATGGGGCATTAGATCTGCCTCAGAGTAACTGAAACTCCAGAAATAGAGGTAAATAAAGTATAAGGACAAGAGTCATCAGAGGCCCACTTCCTATCCCCAATGTCCACTTTCCAAAACTTGGAAAGTGATCTACTTGGCCTCCAGGTTCTACCTACCAGCTACCACAGCAAGGGAATCAACAACACTGGTAACAGCCAAATGGAGAAACTCTGAGCTATAATACCAGCTACTGCCTCCAGGAGGACACGAAAAACTTCTCCCAGTTCTCAGCCAATCAAGTGGTAACTCCTATTTCTCAGTGTGGAACAGGAACAACTAAACAGCCTCCTCTATGCCTTTTCCCCTCAGGTTCTCTGCTCCCTCCTTCACTCTGACAAGGCTACAAAATCTTCCCTTGCAAACAGAGAAGAGCTGAAAGTCAGGTCCCAGCCGAATCAGCAGATACACAGGCAATTCAAACCCAGGCCACCCGAGGCTGTTGTGTGTAGGAATTCTCAAGAGAGCAAATGTCAGCCGTGGCGCAGAGGGAGAGGACTGCCACGTGGCACTGTAACACGGGACGGACACCAGGATCTGCTTCATGCACAACTTACACTTTGAGCCCTGGGGAGTCCTCAGTGTAGAATCGCCACATCCCCCCCGTGCCCGTGGAGGTGGTCCGGCCTGCGCTCCTGGTTCCACAGCTGGCATTTTTCCTGTAAGAGGAAAACATTACAAATAAAATTTTCCTAGAAATTCCTTGCTAAGATTGACTGACTAAAAAAGGAAAGAAAAAAAAAAGTTAACTTTCTTTGGAACTCCTCGCCCTTCGCTCATGAAAACTACTGGGAAAAAAGACTGACTACCAGAGGCAAATGTGAACCAAGATCACATACCTCGGTGGGCAGCAGGTGAGGAGGACTCACTTCTGACTCTAGAGTCCTCCATGTTCCCAAGTCCTGCACCTCGTTAAACAATGCACTTCACTGTTTTGGGGCCACACTCTGCAGTGCTCAGTGGTTACTACCAGTACAGTGCTCAGGGCATGTTCCTCAGTAGCACAAGAGGGACCGTGTGGTGCCAAGGATCAAAGCAGACCAACCCTCACAGCGATCTCTCATGGCCTCTTGAACAGTACATTTTAAAAAATTATTTTTATTCAATCACCATGAGAGATACAGTTACAAATGAGTTTCAGTCATGCAAATGTTTCAACACCCATCTCTTCACCAGTGTACATTTCCCACTACCAATGTGCCCAGTTTCCCTACCACATTCCACAACCCCCCCCCCCCCACCAAGCCTTTCCTCTGTGGCAGACACTTTTCTTCTCTCTTTTCTTCTTTTCCTTTCAGGCACTTGAATAGCACATTTTAGATTCTCTCTGCTGCAGTTTTGTGAAGTCTAGGAATAAAACCAGCAGTATTCTGCATTTACTCCTAGCTCTGTATTTCAGGAATTAAACTCACGTCAGTTGCTTGCGCTTCCTACTGGACCATCCGTCTCTCCAGCTGAACTTTTTGTCAGAGACCACAATGCAGCAACAGAGTTTTTGATGACATATATCTACGACAGTCAAGTCACTAACACTTAGAGACTGCCCAGATCAGAAGCAAGCAGGCTGCAGGGTCCCTGAGTCCCTGCACGGGAGCCTTGCCGTTGACCCTGGCACAGCACCCAGTGTGTTAAAAGAGGAAACAGCAAACTCACAGCTAGCAAAGTCTTAGCAGTCCCCTCCACCCACTTGTGCATTGGGGACTTCATCTTCAGTCTATGAAGAGGCATCTTTTTCTTTCAATTTTCTTCAAAATTTCTAGTGGGCAGGGGCACTATTTCTAGTAGCTCATGTAGCAAAGCGGAAGGCCAGCAGGTAAGCAGCCCCTATGCTCAGTCCATGGCACCACTGAGGTCGCACAGAGGCCCTCAAGCACCACAACACCAGGTCAAGTATCATCTAGAGTGGTCCTTCTAAGTAATAGTAGTCATCATAATAAATAAATAAACTTTCTGACAGCCATATGTCTCAGCACACAGTGCTACCAAGCCTCAGAAAAGAGCTCTCCTCCCCAAGGAACTCCAGATTCAGGACACATTTTCCATCCCAGCACAAAATTCTCTGAATAAACCCAGGAAAGTGACAGCACCCTCGGCTCAAATAACCTAAATCGTAGCTTGACACACTTTTCTGCTGGTACCTGGCAGCCTTCCCTTGAAGGCCTGCGAGAGGAAAACTATAATCCTTCCAGATAATGGCACCACGTGACAGATCCCTTAGAATTTCCGTGCTCAGCTGGAACGCCTTATATAAGTTCAAAAACATCACACTTAGATTTAACTATTGCAGTCAACAAGAAACATGATATCCTTAAAGATGGTTTTTATTGTGTCCCTAAAGAAAGACTTCTCTGGATTTAGAACCCTACTAGGTGCTTCAAATACCCCGCCAAGGTAGCACCATCTGTTTCCTTCCTTCATCCCCTACCATCAGGTCTACGAGAGGATTTGGATGCCATATGTGCAGCGGTCGCGCGACATCCTAACAGAACTTTTTTTATGACATCTTATTGTCTTATTCCTACTTTGGACAAACTTGCAGGCTATCGAATGTAGCCTGCCCACAGGGCAGAGTCTGGCAAACTCCCCGTGGCGTACCAAATATGCCAAATACCAGTAACAATGATGGGTCTCATTCTCCTAAATAGCCTTGAATATAATCTCAGGGCTAGGATGAAAGAGACGTTACTGGGGCCTGCTCGAGGCAATCGACGAATAACAGGATGATGAAATGAAATGAAATGAAATGTGCAGTTGCAGTCAGTCTATGAAGGAGATAAATACCGAATGATAAATGCTGCCACGACCACGAGAACATGACACGTTGGAGTGAGAGTTTAGACAATCACAGAGGAATTAAGTCCGGCGGCGCTGAATCAGGGAGAATTAACAGACACTGGGGAAGGGAGAATGGAGGAAAGGAGGGTTGTAGAGAACTGAGAAAACTGTGCTAAGTTCACTGACCCTGCGGCACAGCTGTGCAGGAGAGGAAGAGACCAGAGGCTCAGAGAACCCACCCAAATTTGATCCCGGGCACCACATCTGGTTCCTGAGCCATCCCTGCCACCAGAAACGGGGCAGTGGGACAGCATCAGAGATGAGGAGAGAACAGAGTGACAAGGCCCTGGAGAAAAGAGACAGAAAACCCAAGTGTGGACGAAAGAAATGGGGCTAAACTGGGGCAGGAAGATAGCACGGAAGCTCTCGCTCCAGACGATCCGGAGCCCAGCAGGGCCTGATGGAAGGACGCGGAGAGCCAGGACCCCTGTCAAAGTCGGGAGGGGAAACTCAGAAACGAGAGTGCAGAGTCGCTCCAACTCATCCACCAAGTCCCTCAAGTTGTCTTGCGCCCCCATTCCTGTGTGTTGACTTTGCTCTTTGCAGAGCGGGGCCTGCACACTGCAAATGCCTCTACCTCCTCCAAAACCCCCAAAGTCTGAGCGCTCCGACGGCCACGTCATCGCGGCCCAAGTGGCCTTCACACGTCTTAGTATCCAAGCGTCCTCTCCTCGGGCCCCTCCGATCCCTGCGCCGGGTGAGGCCCAGATCCCCTGTTCCTGGAGGGTCGCCGGGTAGACCCCCCTTACCTCTGCCGGACTGTGGATCCCGCCGCGCGCGCGGCCACGGCTTTGCTGGGAGAGCGTCCCGAGGAGCCCACGTTTGTGCCACTGGGGGTTGGTCCCGGCTGTAGAGGGCAAGAAAGAGACAGGGGTGAGCGACAACCGGTCGGCCTGGGACCACCCCCAGGCCCAGGCGGCCTCCAGCGACAACCAACACGGGGGGGCTGGGGGACGCGAGGGAGCCACGAAAGAAAGGGGGAAAAGGCGAGCTGCAAGGCAGAACGCGACGCTCCCGGGGCAGAAGAAGAAGATGAGAAAAAGAGAAAGCCGGGGTCGCCTTACCATACTGGACACAGGTAAGGGGCGCTGGGCGGATACCGACAGCCGGGAAGTGCAGGAGTTTCCCCAGGTTCCGCCGCCGCCGGAGTCGTGCAGGCCCCGCCCCCAGGCCGGCTGGCAGGGGTCCTCGCCGACACCCAGGACGCCTGAGTTGTCCTAGATAATGCCTGTACAGACTTTGAGAAAAGCGACGCCTTCCGCTGTTGCGTGGTCACTACAGCCCTTCTATCTCTTTGTGAATGGATCACAGAATCCTCTCCAGACGCCAGTTGCTACCAAGGAAGGCACAGACCATGGACACACAAGAACATTTTTCTCCGGCAGTCTCCAGGCCACTCTAGATTTGCGCTGATGTGGCCTAAGTGACGCTCGCGTCGGGGAGGGGGCGTGGTCTGTGGACTCTGTGGACACGCCCCCCCGCCTCCGTCGCCTCCGGGCCCGGCCAGCAGGGCCGAGGAGCATGCGCGGATAAGCCCGGGAGGCCACGGGGGTCCGGGACGGCCGCGCGGGCCATGGCGCAGGAGCGAGGCCCGTCCGTGCTGTTCCTGCACCCGGACCTCGGCGTGGGTGGCGCCGAGCGGCTGGTGCTGGACGCGGCGCTGGCGCTGCAGGCGCGCGGCTGCAGCGTGCGGATCTGGACGGCGCACTACGACCCGGGCCACTGCTTCTCCGAGAGCCGCGCCGTGCCGGTGCGCTGCGCCGGGGACTGGCTGCCGCGGAGCCTGGGCTGGGGGCGTCGTGGCGCCGCGCTCTGCGCCTACGTGCGCATGATCTACCTGGCCCTCTACGTGCTCTTCCTCGGCGACGAGGAGTTCGACGTGGTGGTGTGTGACCAGGTGAGGCGGCCACGCCCGGGGCCCTGGACTCGCCTCCTTTCCTCTCTCTCTCTCTCTCTCTCTCTCTCTCTCTCTCTCTCTCTCTCTCTCTCTCTCTCTCTCTCTCTCTCTCTCTTTAATTTTTCCTAAAGATTGTCGCACTTGAGTGTGCACGCATCCGAATTGTGCTGAGGACTGGACCTCACGCTCCAAACTTTCCCCCCTTCCTGGAGCCCAGAATTGGCCTTTTAGACAGCTGCTGCATCTTCCCTGGATTATCGGATTCTGAATCACTTGGATTCAGAGGTAGATTGGACCCCTGAAAGTGCCAACGACTCCCGCTCCTTCCTTCTCTGCATGATGTATTTTGACTCTGCATCCAGGTCACGTGTATGCTGTCCTCTCGGGCCTTGGCTGCGAAATCTCCCTCCCCCTTACCCCGATGTTAAAGCACCAAGCTAAACGTGGCAATGCACTACTCAAAAGTTTCAGAGCGCTCTCTACTAGTCTTTAAAGGAAAACTCAAATTCTTTGATAAAATAATGTCCCCGCCCCCCCAAAGATCTAGGATCTAACTCTCGTTATTCCCTCCCACCCAACACTACCACAAAATCTGAAGTTTAGGGTCAGCAAGATAGAATAGGGGATAAGGCCCAGTATGCGGCCAACCCGGTTCCATCCCCAGCACTGACTGCATCACAGGGTGCAATCCTGGAGGCCCTCAGGCATTGCCAGGGTGGCACAGCTTATCTGGGCACCACCGTGGGGCATAAGCAGCACAGCATCTTCAAGCCCTGGCCTTGAATAGCTTCTTAAACTGACCTCCCAGCAGCACTGGGTAACCTGCCCCCTCTTCAAAATAGCATCAACTCAGGCCTTTAAAATCAAGTAAGGAACAAGGTGATATCTCAGAGGGATATCTCAGAGGGAGCTTGTGATTTGCATGTGATATCTCAGAGGGATATCTCAGAGGGAGCTTGTGATTTGCATGTGAGACCCCCTAAGTTTGGTCCCCAGAGTGGTCTAAAAAGTACTTTTGGGGGTTATTTCCAGCAGTGTTGAGGTTTACTCATGGCTCAGTGCTCAGGAGTCATCCAGGCAGGACTGGGGAAACCATATATGGTGCCAGGGCTGCTTGCAGGGCAAATGCCTGACTATATGGTCACTCTGGCCCCAGTTATTTAAAGAAAATTTTAATCTTTTATTATAAAAGGGTATAATATCTGCCTTGTGCACAGCCAGCCAGGCCGAGCTGGGTTCAATTCCTCTGCCCCTCTCGGAGAGCCCAGCAAGCTACCGAGAGTATCTCGCCTGTGTGGGAAAGCCTGGCAAGCTACCCATAACGTATTCAATATGCCGAACACAGTAACAAGTCTCAAAATGGAGACGTTACTGGGCCCGCTCGAGCAAATCGATGAACAACGGGAGGACAGCAATGTTCAAATTAATTTTGCCCTTTAAAAAAGAGAAATGTTTGGAGGGTGGGCACTGGTGGAAGGATGGGTGTTTGATCATTGTATGATTGAAACCCAAGCGCAAGGATTTGTAAGTCTACAACTGTACCTCATAGTGTTTCACTAATAAAAATTAGAAAAAAGAGAGAGAGAGATGTTAATGTGGCCAATAGACCATTCTTTCCATTGGCCAGTGGAGTTCTAGAGGAAACCGCTAGATTGTTCTTTATTCAGCACACAGCCAGTTAGTGCTCCAAGGCCTTGGTCAGAGGCGGGACACTACAGGAGCACCTGGGGTTAGACCAGAAAGACATCCCCATTTAGGGGAGCAGAGACCAGCCAGTGGGCATGGGGGCTTCTGGTCCAGCTGATGTTGAGTTGACAGTCACTGTTAACCTGCTCTTAACTTCTGCTCTGGCCAGGTGTCTGCTTGTATCCCTGTGTTCAAGCTGGCCAGGCGGCGCAAGAAGATCCTGTTTTATTGTCACTTCCCCGATCTGCTGCTCACAAGGAGAGATTCCTTCCTGAAGCGATTGTACAGGGCCCCCCTCGACTGGCTAGAGGAGCACACCACGGGCATGGCTGACTGCATCCTGGTCAACAGCCGGTTCACAGCTGCCATTTTTAAGGAGACATTCAAGTCCCTGTCTCACAGAGACCCCGATGTTCTCTACCCATCCCTAAACGTCACCAGCTTCGACTCAGCCATTCCTGAGAAACTGGATGACCTTGTCCCCCAGGGAAGGAAATTCCTGTTCCTCTCTATCAACAGGTACGAACGAAAGAAGAACCTGGCATTGGCGCTGGAAGCTCTGGTCACGCTGCGTGGGAGACTGTCAGCCCAAGACTGGGACCAGGTTCACCTGATCATGGCAGGTGGTTATGACGAGAGAGTCCAGGAGAACGTGGAACACTATCAGGAGCTGAAGGCCATGGTCCAGCAGGCCGAGTTGGGCCCGCACGTGACCTTCCTGCGTTCTTTCTCGGACCAACAGAAAATCTCTCTCCTGCACGGCTGCACATGTGTGCTCTACACCCCCAGCAACGAGCACTTTGGCATCGTCCCGCTGGAGGCCATGTACATGCGCTGCCCAGTCATCGCTGTCAATTCTGGGGGGCCCCTGGAGTCCATTGTGCACAGCGTGACGGGGTTCCTGTGTGAGCCTGACCCCATGCACTTCTCAGAAGCCATCGAGAAGTTCATCCAGGAACCTTCATTGAAAGTCACAATGGGACTGGCTGGCAGGGCCAGGGTGAAGGAAAAGTTCTCCTCAGAAGCCTTCACCGAACAGCTCTATCAGTATGTCACCAAGCTACTGGTCTAGATTGTTCTAAGGTCTTGGTGCTATATTCATTGATGCCATTTTCATTCCTGTTAGCTACAGTTTTGAAACCATTAAAGAAACCCAGAACCTAGCCTGTATAAATGTAGCACTGGCTGGGGGCTGGAGTGATAGGATGTTGGGTGGGGCACTTGCCTTGCACATGGCCCACCTGGAATCAGTTCCCAGCACCCTGTCTGGTTCCCCAACTTTTCACCAGCAGTGATCGCTGAGCTCCAAGCCAGGAGTAGGCCCTGAGCACTGCTGGGAGAGGCCAAAAAACCCAAAAATAAATAGAATGCAGAGAGAGAGCTCAACAGACTGAGCACTGGCAGGAGGTCAGGGGTCCATTCCCAGTGCCACATGGTCTCCCTGGAGCAACCCCCAGGCGCTGAGCTGGATTAGCCCCTGAGTATCATTGTGAATGACCCCTAAACCAAAATATAAATAAATACTTGAATACTTGAATCTTAAATCTGAGCCTTCTTCTATTACATCAGACCTTGTCTACTTTGTCTGAAAAAGTCCTAGGCCATCAGCATTCTAATCCTTAGCAATGGTGATTAGTATGGCACAACTCATGTAGGATGTTTTCATTTTATTTTCAGTAGATTATTGGTGTTCTCCCTATCAGTTTGGACCCATGCTGTGCTTTCATTGGTTTTTAGTGAATCATCATTAAAGTCGATTAATTTGGCTTGATAGCATAAGGAGAATATAGTGAAATTCTAGTGCCCAGAACCAATCCACCTAAGTTCCTGCTGTTTTCCATTAGGAAAGCTTTTGTTGTCCTTCCTTTACCTAGATTCCCTTTTCTTGGATTCGTTTAGCAAGAATGCTCTCTCTCTATATTTTTTTAAATTTTTTTTTTAACAAAGACAGTGTATTTTTACACAGAGACCCACCCATAAAAAATATTTGTCTTAAGAAAAGAGATTTGCTCGAGCGGGCCCAGTAACGTCTCCATTGGAGACTTTGATGTTACTGTGTCTGGCATATCCAATACTCTCGGTAGCTTGCCAGGCTCTCCGAGAGGGGCGGAGGAATCGAACTCGGGTCGGCCATGTTGGCTGCGTGCAAGGCAGACGCCCTACCCGCTGTGCTATCACTCCAGAATAAAGTGCTTGATTTGGGGCCTTCACAATCTCTTTGATTACTCAGGAAGAGAGACAGGACCACCATATCTATGTCAGAAACCAATGTCAACTGGATGTCGGCATGAAAGGTGGGGGCTGAGGGTGGGATTCTTATGTGTGCAAAGGGTGTTTTGTTGATTGTCAGCCTGGCAAATATTTGGGCCCTATGAAGGAAGCCCCGACTTCGTGAAGAGAAATGCTTTGCATTGTGGCAGCCCCTCCTGAGGCTTTCCTGAATCGACACCCACCTTCCCAGCAGGAAGTATCAGTCCCCCTCCGAAAACTAAACCTCCCCCAGCACTGGCCAATTTCAGAGCTCAGTCTTTGCCCTCTGGACTAAGCACAAATCAAATATAAAACACTTTACAACATTTCATTAAAAGTAAATTCATATTTTTAGTCACCCAAACACTACCAGAAATTACCCCAAAATACAGAGCCAGGAGTAAGCCTAGAGCACAGCTATTTTTGCCCCCAAAATAAAAGAACTGGCAAAGATTCTTCACCCACTCTCAGAACACAGGTCTGAGCCTAACAGACTGAAGCCTTGGGCCACTCACTCCATATTCCCGGCACAGCAGCTATTCAACGCTGACGTGAGGTATGAATATTCTGCCTTTCCCATGGAGGAATCATGAGGGATCACCTCGATACAATAAAATACTTGAAACCCTACTTGGCACGTTGGGCTATAAAACAGAGTTGTTTGCTATTTGAAGATAAAAAATGACAAGTTCCACATGGATTGGTGTTCTCTACTGTCTCCTTTTGGGGTTCTTTAAAGGGTAAAATGTCACATTATAATTGGCCGCTTTGGCCTGTCACGAGAGTATTTTAACAAACTAGCTGTACCAAAAAGATATAAATGTCAGTGTCAACTATACATAGAAGATTTTCTTTTTTTGTTTTGTGTTGGGGGGGGCACCCTCGGTGATGCTCAGGATTACTCCTCACTCTGCACTCAGGAATCACACCTGGCAGTGCCCGGGAAACCATATGGGATGCTAAGGTTGGCAGTGTGCAAGATAAACACCTTACCCACTATGCTATCTCTCTCGCCCTACATATGAGACTTTTCTGTAATGGAAAATTTAGTTCCTTTTTCTGTGGCACTCTGAAAGTTTACCACCCGTTAAAGTAAGTCTCCCTGATTTTGTGTCTCATCACATGTATTTCTCAGAGAGCTGCGGCTTTACTAGAAAGGGCCAGTTTTCCCTCACTTTGGTTTAGGACAGAGAGACACAGTCACATGCTGATTCCCAGCTGGGACTTAACACAGTCTGAGTGCTGAAACTTCCTCCTCTTCATGCTACAGAAATGGACTCCATGATGTGCCCACCACCACCCACCAACATACCTTCCCTTCATTGTCTTAGACCCCAGCTAAAAATAAGATCCCAGATGGTGGGAGGGAACAGCCTGCTAGATACTTCCAGCCCAAGCACTAACTCCCGCACCCAGGATGGAGCTTTTCCAAGGTTCAAAAACAATACTGCGAGGGGGCCCCAGTCTTCATAGCACCCCTGTTCCCCGGGATCCTCCTGCCCTCACAAGAGGGTTCAGGAGCAACAGGCAAGGCTACCCTGAGGAAAGGGGCCTTTACCGAGGGGCAGGAAAAAAGAAGAGGCAGCCCTCATGGTGGAGACTCACCCAGGAACAACTCCAGCTTTGGATGGCCCAGACTGGCTCCTGACCCCTGATTTTCCCAGTTGACTTCCCCCTGTTTGTAGATAAAACAATAAAATGAAAGAAAAAAAATACTGCAGTTGGGAAATGTAGAAATATGGGTCAGTGAAATGAATGGGTCACGACCCTGCCAATACTTATTCTTCTAGTGTGCCAGGCATGATAGGGGAAGCCTAGTAGACAGTTCATTTCATCCTGCTGGAGGAGGTGCAGGCAGCCCACTTCTTGCTTGAATACTCCTGCTAGGAGTCTACGTGTCACAGAGCCCAGAGGGATGGGCACAGTCATTCCAACACCCAGCATCTCACCACTCTCTCGGAGTCTGGCCCTGTTCTTCCCACACTCCTGAGACATGCCACTCTGCTCCCTTCCCAGAACGCCCTCTGAGCACTGTTCTTGCTGCAGAGAAAGGCTTTGCAGGCTATGAAACAGCAGGGGAGAGGCTGGTGGAGCCCAGGGCAGAGGGGCATGACTTTAAGTGACAGCCCTAAGAAGTGACCTCCCAATTCAGCACAGTTCCTGTACCTGTAATGGGTGATGGTGGGGGTGGGGAGGGGGTGGGGAGACAGGACAGGACTCAGTGGAACAAAGCATTGGTCTTGGTCTTGAGGTCGAGAGTAGGATCCCCAAGGGCAGCACTGAGGTCTCTGCTGTCTGGGAACCCTGAGGTTGCCACAGAGCTTGCAGTGGGCTCTCTGCACACAGCCAGGCATATATAACCCCCCAGGCATGCAACAGTGCTGGAATCCAAGCTTGCACAGCAGCTCAGAGCTGGAGAAAGGAGCCAAGAGACTGAGACGGAGGGGGATGTGGATCCCAGAAGGGAGCTGATTGGACAGAGAAAGTAGATACCCTCTCCAGGATACAGAACAGGATCCTTTAAACACTCAGCTAGCCTGACCCTTCTGAAATGCTTACATGAAGATCTAGCTGGTGTAAGAGTCTGACAACAAAGATATACCGTTGTTAACATTTTTTTTTTTTTTTTGCTTTTTGGGTCACACCCAGTGATGCTCAGGGGTTACTCCTGGCTCATGCACTCAGGAACTGCTCCTGGCGGTGCTCAGGGGACCATATGGGGTGCTGGGAATTGAACCTGTGTCGGTCATGTTGGCTGCGTGCAAGGCAAACGCCCTACCTGCTGTGCTATCACTCCAGCCCCCGTTGTTAACATTTAATGCTCTGATTTATAGAAGTCTGCCTGGCTCGGTGGTAATATTCCCAGATCAGGTCTGACTTCCTTTTTGGTCACATTTGAAGAATCATATTTGCTCATATTTTAATTTTGAATATTAGTTTTTGTCCACTAAGAAGAAAAACCTGGATTTAGGGTTTTTCTTTAAATCAATGAGGATTGGCCTGGTAGGCTATTGTGGGTGCTTTTACAATATCGTTAGATAGGTCCATAACAGAAAGTCTTGCTTTCCTTTCTTTTTTTTTATGCTTTTAATCTGCATTGATTCTTTTTTGACATCTTTTCATCCTTTGTTACTTGTTACAATTGTTTAGACCTATTTCCATTCACTCATTGAGAATCTATTACTTTCTAAAAGTCCTTATAAGTGATCCTTATAAGTCTCCTTTAAAGTCACCATCTGGTGGGGAGAGAGGGGGGTGGAGCGATAATACAGCAGGTACCATGCATGCAGCCAACCTGTGTTCCATCCCTGGCATCCCTTATGGTCCCCTGAGCCCTGCCAGGAGTGATCCCTAAAGCCTCCTCCCTTTCATGTATAAAGCATTTTTTAAATACCAGTTTTTTTAGGGAGAACATACGTATTGGCATAATTAATGTCCATTATCCTCACATCTAGATGGCTTGATTGTGTATAAAATTCTTGAATCACATACTTTCTGGGCTGGAGCAATAGCACAGCGGTAGGGCATTTGCCTTACAAGCAGCCAACATGGACGACCCAAGTTCGATTCCTCCGCCCCTCTCGGAGAGCCCGGCAAGCTACCGAGAGTATCTTGCCCCCATGGCAAAGCCTGGCAGGCTACCTGTGATGTATTCGATATGCCAAACACAGTAACAACAAGTCTCACAAGGGAGATGTTACTGGGCCCGCTCGAGCGAATCGATGAACAACGGGAGGACAGTGCTACATGCTTTCTCTCAATGCTGTATAATTGTGTAATCTTGAGGGCAGTATTTCCTACTGCACATTCCAGAGGAAATAAACTGCAAAAATGGCTTCAGGACAAAGGGTTCAGAGGCCTATAGGAAGGAACTGATCCATACCATCAGCAATGTACAAGGTAATGGGTACAGTAAAGGCCTTAAAACAGCCTGATGTGGAGAAAATAAACTATTGCCAGTATATCCAAGTTGTGTGATCTTAGTAACATTGAAAATGATGACCCATATCATGAATAGCTAACATTTGCAAAGCATTTACGTGAGCCAGCCACAGATCTAGCACTTTATCCATATCTCTCAACTGACTAGATCTTCTCAACAGCACACACGGTTGATAGGGTCTTTCAACCCATTGCAACAGATGAGAAAACTGAGGTGCAGATCCTCTTAAAAGTAGATTGGAGAATTCAACCCCCAGCAGATAGTTCCATATTTCTTTAGGCTGGAAAAAGCACCCCAAAAAGGCAGCAACTGTCTTTCCCCAAGTCAGAAAAACAAAACACATTGCCCCCAAAAGGGAAGGAAACTTTCTACCAGTCTCTGTAACAGAATTTGCCATAGAATTGCAGCAGAAGTGCTTTGCTGGGTAACCTAATTACCCTCAGGGAGTGCTCAACTCTGCTGTTGGCCAGCTGCCAGGACCCATCATTGAATCCTCATCACCTCATCAATTCAGCCTCCTCAACTGACGGGCAAAACAACATCCAAATATTCATTGCACATCTGTGCTAGGCAGATTATACATTAGCAATTCAAATCTGGCCAGTGTACTGGCCCTTCCTGCAAATGCATCTGTTTGGGTGAGATGCCTTGTTGTCTGGGATGGATAATAAGGCAACTCGGTCTAATCTTGAAGAACAATCAACCCATCTTGCGAAGGTGACTGGCTGTGTGTGTTCTTGCCCTGGCAGCGTTGGAACAATGGCCCCAGAATGCACCCGCCTCAGCTGGCAATGAAGTCCCATCCTGATTAGTAGCTGTGGCTGGTGTCAATCTCTGCCGGGTACACCATTGTCCTCTGGGCCTCAACACGGTTTATTTACAGGAAAACAAAGGCTTTGGGGAGCTATGGTGGCTTTGCAGAGATTGCAAAATAGATTGAGCTGTCAAATACACAAAGTAGATGAAGATTAATGAGTTGTGTGGACAATAAATATGAAGAGATGACCATGAATATGCTAATGGGCATTATCCACATATACCGTAATTGCTACCAAAATTAAAAGGTGGCATGAAGAAGCTGGGTCACAAGGTGACAGGGAGATAATCTTGGATGCTTGAGATGCTCACCCCAGATAAGACCCTCTACAGGTTTCCCTTCCCCGCTAAGCCACCCCAAGGCATCATTGTTTGCAAGCTGTCTGCAAAAGTTACTTTAGAGAAAGGTGTAATTAGAATAAGAAAGGTGCTTATCAAAGGCAAGAAGTGATCAACTGTCAGGCTACCTGGCATCCTCAGGGACTGGACTGATGAAGGATGTCGCTTCAAACTTCCGACTTCCAACCTCAGAATCCCAGGGATGATGACAACTCTGACGATGTTATTTAACTCACCTTTCAGGGAGAAGCAAGTGATTTTTTTTTCAAGGTCCTCCCATAGTCCAATTTCCTTGAGCAAACAGAGACATTTGAAGAACATCATGTTGAAAAGCAGATGTAACTGTCTTTCAGATGAGGACAGATGGGTAGAAAAGAGGACAGGAGATGGGGAGAAAGAAGGGTCCCAGAGTCCATCAAAGGCTCACACTACATGGTCTGAAAATTCCGCCAAAGAGGGGAAAATAAGAGTTGTGTCTAAATACAAAACAACCTCACTGGAAGGGGCTGGAGAGAAAGGGGGTGCCACAAGTAACTTTGAAAACGATTGATGTTTAACAAAGGAAAAGAAGTGGCCCCTAGGGCCTGGGTTCGAGTTAACAAAGCTGTCTCTCATGGTAGCAAGATGAATGGTGGTAAAAGCATCCCAGAAGCCTACCGGAATCCAGCAGTAAAAAACAAGACAGCTGTGTGGGAGCCAGGTT